TTTGTATCATTATCCATGCATCATCTTACTCAGTTTTAATTTTTATTTTTTTTATTTTATTATTTATCTGTATTTTAAATCACTTCATTTATGTTTGATATTATTATCATTATTGTAATTTTTATTTATTTTTTGTATTAAGAACCCTTTTATTAGACTAATTTGGAATTGGGTTAATTTATCCTGACTAAAATAATGGGCCATATCAGTCAATTTGCTGTATAACCCGATGTACAATGTTCTACAGGGAAAAATTCTTGGCCTGGTCAGTCATTTTAGGCTTACTACTACCACCCATTCATTATTTCCTTCTTTCCTTTCCTTTCCATATCCTCTCTTTATCTCAGTTTTTAAAAGAACTTGACCATCCATCACTTTTCTTTTTCCCCTCCTTCTCTTCTCTCTCTTGCTTTCCTGTCCCCCTGTCAATATAGTATACCAGTCTGGAGTATTGTCTCCATTTACTGAGAGATTTCGGTCTGAAGAGATGAATATATAGATATTCACAAAATAAATTATAACTGAAATGAATATTTAAGGTTTTCCTCTTGATTAGTATTATTACAATGCTCTATAGTCTACATAGAGCTCTCCCTGGATTAATATCCTCCTTGAAATTATCCCAACCAGTCAAAAATTGGTAGTGTATATATATATATATATATATATGTGTGTGTGTGTCTTTCATTAAAGATGATTGACAAGGTGCTGCAATTAAGCTTTTTTATTTAATTTTTCTTCTTGTGTTCGTACAAGTGTTTTCTTTTCTGGACACAATATCTTCTACAAAAGCCAAATGCATGTCAACTATAAGCAAGATGAATCTTCACTTCACTTAGAAATATCATAAAAAAAATACACTACCCCAGTTGACCTGAACAAAATAAAACTAAATTATCTATTACAAAAAATTTAAAATAGCTAACCATATCCTCAAAGATAACAACACACCTGCAAAATCAAAACTACAAAAAACCAACATTATTTATGAGTTGAAATGATCAAACCGAACTCATAAATAATTACTTCAGTCACACTATTACATGCCTATCCAGATGACTTATGTTACACCTATTCGACCACAGCTCTATTAGAATTCATTTAAATACACACAAACCAATCAGACTCCATACAAAACATGCAAACATAAGACTTCACCCACATGTAAAAAAAAAAGATTAAAAACAATTGAAGTCCTAATAATAAAAAAGAAAAAGCCAACAGTCAGTAACATTAACTACAAACACAGCCACAATGTACTGACTATGTTTGGAAAATAAAACATCTTTATAAATCTTGATATATATATATATATATATATATATACACACACACACACACACACAGGTAATAGTCATTCAGTTAAAAAGTAAAAATAAAATCATCCTTGATAATGGCTAAAAGTATAACCAGAAGTACAGAACATTTGCACAATTTTTACACACTTTGTGTCCAGAAAAATGGGTAACACTTGTATGAACACAAGGAAAATAAAAAGCTTAATCACAGTAGCTTATCAGTTGTCTTTAATGAAACATGTATAAAAGAATGATTGCTGCCTAAATACACTATATACACACACCCACACACACACATATATATATATATATATATATATATATATACATACACAATATGATACTAAAGAAATATTGTCCATGTAAGCTTCTTATAATATGTAGATTTAACACACTGATAAAAAACATTTGAGAGATAAAAAAAAACTGCAATAATAATAATAATATTGATAATATTTATTGCATATTAGTCAACATTTTGGAAGCATGATTAGAAAGATGTTAAAAATTGAAATTTTCAGACATGCCTGCATCCTTTCTCAATGACATGAGAAATAATTAAAATGAAGTGGGAATTTTTTCTCTGGGGAATATTTTTTTTTTTATAGAAAAAAAAATAAAGAAAGCCTTCTACAAATTATCTTCAACTCTAATCGTGAAAACCACTAGCCCTAAACTATAAGATCTCTTCAATAATTTAACACATGCAGGAAAAAAAAAAAAAAAATCCCACAGTGAGGTTTAAGTTCCGCTTCATTTTTTTTATTTTTCATCTTGTTGAGAGAAGAGGCAGGTCTGCTTAAAAATTTTGATTTTTAACATATTAATCAGTGTAAACATTTCTATATAAAATTTTATGACTTGTGTTAGTCCATCCATCACACCCTCTAAAATAGCCAAAAATTTGACTGATTGAAACCAAATGCTCCAAAAAGTTGGAATTTGGTTCCAGAAATAAATATTTACACATGGGTATTTGTATATGGCATGATCAAGTGTAAGAAATCTTGAGAATTTATTATTCGCTGTCAAAAAGGAAAAAAAAGAAATTTTCTTAAAAATATTGTTTACCATGAAGTCCTATAAAATTAAAGACATTATTAAACTCTGCATTAGAGTTTTTGTCAAAGTATTTTTCCAAACAAATTGACTTATTCAAATTTCATTGATTGGTTTGCAAAGTCGAACAGAACGTAGCATTTGGAAATCTTGACAAAAATATTAGTGATAACTACAACAATAACTACAACAATAACTACAACAATAACTACTGTGAGGATTTTAACACGTGTCAGTGTGTTGCAAAAAAATTCTAGTTTACAAAATTCACTAAAAAGATATTAACTGTCTATGTTTCTGAGATGAGGTATTATATCCAATATTTACATTATTCGGACGATTGAACTCATCTTTGTCGCCATATTTATTACAATGTTTTAGCCATTCCGGCATTCTTCAGGTGGTTAGGAATGTAAAAAGAACTGATAAATTTCAACTATTTAAAAAGACCCACTGGGGTAAACTGTTCTAGTTCCAAAAGTTAAAATTATTTAAATGGATGTCAGTTGTTAGTTATCTCCTGTTAATTCTCCCTCTCCAAGTTCTCCACTGCCTCAAGAACACAGTGGATAAAAGTGTTAATTAGATCCAGTGACAGGACCCAAAGAGTGTGAGTTCAATACCGGTTAAGGCAGTGGAGAACTTGGAGAGGAAATAAACTTAGGAAAATTTATAACAACAACTGACATCCATTAAAACATGGCACATGGAACTAGAACAGTCTTACAATACCCTCAGTGAGATTTAAAATAAAGGGTTCAGTTCAACATTCAACCACCTGAAGAAATAAAAAAAATGGCAGGAGGCGCATATAACGACCCCAAAAAAACATTGTAATAAATATAGTAAAAAAGAATAAAAGATGAGGACATTAGTAGTCCTGTGATACTAAAAAATAATGTAAAAATGTAACATTAACTACAGAGAAAAATTAAAAAAACATTTGGAAAAAACAGGAAAATATTAACCATTGCCAAATGATTAATTTTCTCTAGTCTGTCTAGAATGCCTATATTAGCATTCTGCAATCCAAATTATTCTGAATTCTTTGTTGTCAAGTCTTGGGATAAGAGACTCAGAAATCTCCACAAATATTCTTAAATGCCTTTAATTGATAACAGAAGCCATACTTAATACTTCTCATTTTCACTCTTCTAAAAAAAAAAAAAAAAAAACTTATCATATTACACTAAAAGATATTAACTGTCTTGTTTACAACATAAGACCTCTTATAATACATATTTGGAATCATATTTTTTTTTGACGTTAAACGAGCTTTATTAAATAAAAATTAATCATCCTTGACACAATTTTTAACCTTTTGCGTCTCTCAAGTTCTCACAACTTGAGTTAGTTGTTGCTTTGAAATTTTTCATGTAACAAAAACAGACTATCATTATTTATTCATCTGTGTATTGGTTGATATATTGAAAAGTAATTGTCAACTTTGATAATGGCTTATGTTAACCGAAAGCTTAGATTGGATTTAAACATGTATCAATATGGTGATTTCCTTTAAGTCAATGATAATGTTATTAAGCTTATCAGACAATATGAAAGGAACTTAAAATAAATAGACAAAAAAATTTTATGACTTGTCTATATTATTTAATGAAACATCATTAATGAAAAAAAAGTTTAAACAGCTGCCTAAATATACACAATATATATATATATATATATATATATATATATAAAATCTTATAAATATAAATAATTATACTCGTCTGGAAAAACCTTAAGTGTTTTGGCTTGTAAATGAACAAACCAAAACCCAAGAAGGAATAAAAAAAAGAAAGAACTCCGAACATGGAATTCAGGTGAAAACAATCGTCCAGAATCCAAGCTCAGTCCAAAGAAAAAAACCTCCAACATGAGTAAAGCAAAAATAACTAAGCAACGTGTTCAATATACTAAGTAGAGCAAATCTAACTATGAACCTAAAGAGCCAGGCAAACCTAAATAGGTTTCACCTACGTGGATTGTCAGGGTATGCTGGCCAAAGATGAACATTAGAACAGAATATAAATAACCTACAACATAAAAACATGACCATGACATGATATAGGTTTTTGTAAGTATGTGTTGATATTATTTACATTTAGACTATTGTCCTCATCTTTGTTGTTGTTATCACAATATTTTGGCTGCTGTGCCTTTCATCAAGTATATATGGATTGGGGTAACCTACTGGGAATTTTGAACTTAATCCTTTATTTAATTTATAAGGGTAGGCTATTCTTGTTCTACTGCCCATGTCTAGGGATATTTTGTCTGGTTCTTATTTTTAGCACTGCTCAGTTATTGCTCACACCGCCCAGCTCAGGGATTGAACTCACAATTAGTATGCTACCTGAAATTCATGAACCAACACTTTAATCCACTAGGCTATTGTTCTCTAGGGCAGCAACAAAGATGAGGACAGCAGTCCGAATATAATTAGTGTAAATAATGATAAACTCCTCATTGCAGAAATTCAGTGATAACAAAAAAGATGAGGACAATAGTCTAAGTGTAAATAATGATAACCCCCTCATTGCAGAAATTCAGACGGATTTGTTGATATATTTACATTTCTTTCTAAGTACCGGTGAAAGTGGTTTTATCACTTTCTTATCTGAATTTCTTTTGTTCTTATTCCAGATGACCCTGTAAAGTCTGAAGATGACCAAATCATTTTGCGAGTAATTGAAGCTTATTGTACAAGTGCAAAGACACGACAGACAGTTAATTCCTGTAAGTATTCTAAAAAGCTTCTCTGATAATTTTTCCTTTTTCTTTTTTTTTTTCTTTTTTTTTTTTTTTTTTTTTTTTTTTTTTTTTTGCCCTCACCCCCAAATTCATTTTTCTTGCTGCTGCTTATTGTCACTAGTATAATGATTTCTGAATGTTTTATCTTGGAGAACTGTTCTCTTACATTCATCTTATCCATTTATTTTTTTCTAAATTTTATTTTTATTCATTTTTCTTTATTTCCTTGCAAAGCATTCACAGAATATCAGATTGTTTTCATCAGTTTTTGTTGTACTGCTGTTGTGCTACAGTCTGCCTTGCTGATGTACGTCCTACCCATTCATCACACACACACACACACACACACATATATATATATATATATATATATATAATGTACCATTTCCTTGGCATAAACTATACCTCTCTGTTTCTATGCCAGTGCCTTTTCTCTGTTGATCACTACACACTGTTAAAATTCAGTTCACATCCTTCTGCTTTTATATTTCTTTCCGTTCAGCTAATTACAGTAATTAGTTCTGAGGAACCTCTTTACTTTTGAAACCCATCTGATCCATCCCTGAAGATACTGGAAAAATGGTTGGTTCCCTGTTCTGCTCCAATGATTACTTGTCTCCTCCTGCTACTGTCTGTCTTTTCAAGAGCCAGATCAGGCCAAAAATGGAATACTGCTGTCATATTTGGACAGGAGCTGCACTTTTCAGTCTCAGTAGAGTCCAAAAGCATCTCTGCGTCCTTGTGGGTGATGAATTATTTTCCACCACGCAACCCCTTTCCCACAGGGGAAACGTTGAAAGCTACTCTCTGCTCTATTGCTATTTCCATGAAAAGTGTTCAGATGAACTATATACCTTGTTAGTTCCACCAGTTCTAACCTACAGGGCTAAGACCCACCACCCTCATTCCTTTCGTATTCCATTGATGAGATGTAAGTAAACTACTACTCAAGCAGTTTCTCTCCCTGAACCACTGCTTTGTGGAGCCAACTGCCAATAGGAGCCTTCTTGGATCAATACAATCTTAACTTGTTCAAGTCTAGCATTAACTGTTACCTTAATCACATATCCCCATAAACTGTACATCTTACTCTGTTACACTCTACTTTGAGTGGCTCTTGGGCTTTGTACAGGGTTAGTGGTATTGTTTAAAAAAAATCCTTACCTGAATTAAGATAGTGTCATCATTAATCCTCTGTACCTGAGATAATGATTTTTTTTTTTTTCAAAAAGAAAAGAATTGTGACCCTTTATAGATTTGAGATGATTGAGTTTTTGTACGAGGTAATATCCAAGGTTAATAAATTGTACCATCCTGTTAATTAAATTTTTCACTAAATGTTCACTTTAATATATTCCTCAGGTACAAAGGATTAAACAGTAGAAATGCTATTCCAGGGTTGGCTCTTCCATCTTGATTTTATATTTACTGTACGGAAAGAGATGAGGGTCTAACCTCTAATTCTGTGTTATCATTTCAGTTGAAGGATTAGAGCAAGATTGGATTATTTGGAAAATGAAGTTTTGGCTGTAATAATTTAATAATTCTATAGAAATTTTCTATAGAATTCTAATAATTTTCTATAAAATTTTCTATGAAAAAATGTATAAAAATTTTCTGTAAAAATCCTGATTATTTAATAATTACAATTGATATTTTCTGTTGCATAATATAATTTAGTATTTCATTTCTGAGATGAGTAGTTGTCAGTATTCTTGTATTATTTCAAACTACCCCATATATGATATCCATATGTTGACACCTGATGATGACCAGAAAATACTTGGTTAAAACATTGTGTCTATAATAACATCTCTATCAACCAAGATGAGAACAATAGTTTGAAATAATTCAAGAATGTAATAATGATAATTGAACCATTTATGCTTACTTGTGCCAAATGATCCTTTTTCTACAGGTAATCCAATCTCACTCAAATTTTTCTGAGAGTGCCATTGAAATGGGTCTATACAATTAGAAATTGTATTTGGGAGAAGAAAATCTACATAGCTTGATTTCTCTGAGTAGAGAACAACTTGTGGTTGTCATAAGTGTAGGATCTAACATTGTCATCTCAACAGAGAATGGCATTAGGTATTCACAAAAAAAAAAAAAAAAATTTTGTATCTTGTTGCTGCTATAAGATCTTCTTTTATTACATTTTTTCATTTTATATCATGTCATTGTGATCAGATTTCTGCTTGGTTAGAAATTGTTTTGAATTTTTTTTTTTCTCTCCCTACTCTTCTTCCTCCAATTGTATTCCAAGCCAGTTTGCTGTTGTATTCTTAGATTGTTGATTTAGTGCATCTTGCATATGTGTGTGTAAATATATATATATATATATATATATATATATATATATACTTCCCATCAACGGACTAATAGGGGGATGGGGTGGTCCGTTAAATCCGATTGTCTGTAGATTGGAAGGGATTTTTTTGTAGTTATAAAACTGCTATAGTAACTACCAGTAGTTATGATCATAATGTAAATACTATAAACATGTATATATGACATAAATAAATATATACTTAATATAGATATATTAATCAAAGCAACATCAATAATCGATTTCTCACAGCTATTTTCTTATGCACATGCTAATGTATTGTACTTTATATACTGTATACCATCTTCGTTTACAATTGAAAAGCCCATCACCAACGCCAAGTAGTTTGTTCCACTAAGCCCGCAAATTTTGAAATACATCGGTGATGATTTGAAAGTTTTTTTTTTTTCCTGCAGATTTTTTTTATTTTGCCAGCAGATTTTTTTCCATTGCATCAGAAGCCTGTTGATGGGAGGTTTGTGTGTGTGTGTGTGTGTGTGTATATATATATATATATATATATATATATATATATATGTGTGAGGGCTTTATTTTGTAAATTGCATGCAATGTACTTGGAAATCTTAAAAGAGAAAATCTTTTAGAAATTTAGGTGGTGGGTCGGAAAGTCAATGACTTGTAAAGAGTTGGCTTGATAGGTTCATTGTGTGGATTCTGTACCCCTTTCATCTAGGTTCTTCTTCCTTTTCACCTTTTTTTTTTTTCATGTTTAACAGCAAACGTCTCTGATGTGCTACTGTGGCCTGTTGCCTAACTCATTTTAAAAGGCAAAGCTAATTATCATTTTGAATATACAATGGTGATTTAAAAGTTCTTTGATCTATTCCAGCTGAAACTGTTTAGCATTGAAACTGCCAAAACAGTTGAATGAGAGAAAAAAGAAAAAAATTCAACTCATTGATCACATAATCACTGAGCATCATACCTGTCAGAAATGACCATTTATTTACTTCTAAACTATTACCAGTACTTGAAGTTAAGCAGTATTAAGCCCAGCCAGTAATTAGATGAAGACTGCTTCGGAACACCTGGTACTGTAGCAATATCCTACAATTAAAAATATATTTCAATTTTAAATAACCCACATGGGTCAATAAGCTGTAAAGAAACAAATATATCTCAAGTGTCCCTCTTTGTCCTGAGTACAGGTGCATATATATATATATATATATATATATATATATATATATATATTAATTTTTATTTGAAAATTATAATATAAATATGTTATTAAAATCACTACAAAAATAGCCATTTTGTTTCAACACCTCTGGTGCCTTATCATTTGATAAGGCACAAGAGGTGTTGAAACAAAATGGCTATTTTTGTAGTGATTTTAATAACATATTTATATTATAATTTTCAAATAAATAATTATATTCGCTCTACTCTGTATACTCTTTTAAGAATAGTAGTTGTTGGTTATTGGAATTTATTCCATATACATCAATCCTATACTTGTGTGTATGTATATATATATATATATATATATATATAAAGTGGGCACTGATGTCAACACTGAGCAGTAACAATCTGTTTCATGTTTGAATGCAATCTTCAGACCATGTGTTCAAACATGAAACAGACTCTTGCCACTCAGCATTGACCTCATTACCTACTTTTATATCTACATATACTCTATCTCAGATACTGAGCAATTTTACCCATACATATAGCATACATTAAAACTCTATTTTTATTATGTGTGTGTGTATGAAAGAAAAAGCAAAAACAAATAATAAAACTAGATAGAACAGAAAAAACAAAAACAACACAAACACACACACATACACATACACCCCAAGCAATGTACCTGGATGAAGCAAATACTGCCAGCGTCGAATACGCAAAACCAGAAAATCTTAAAATAGAAAAACTCCAAACCCAAAATTGTAATCTAAAACAGTAGAGATACGGATCTTTACCCTGGCTAATATTTGTAGGTAAAACAATATTTAGGCATCTTGTTTAGTTAGTGGAATTTTTTTTATGAGTGCTGGTGTTAATAAAATAGTGCTCAATGTAATATAACAGAGCTTCTAACCTTATAATATGGATTTTAACCTTTCCTTTTTTAATTTTGTTCTGTTTACTTCTATCGAGCACATATAATTTTTTTTATATTAACGATTTCCCATTAGATCTGATTACTTTTTTAATACCGATTTGCATATATGTTTTGAAAATAAAAAAAATTGTTTCTACTATAGTGACATTGCCCTCAATATTGCTGGAAAATGTTGAGGAAAAATCAACCTGTTTAATATTTGTTTTTAAGTGATATCAAATCATTTTACAAACATTAAATTCATTATTTGAGGATTTTAAACAATTTTTTGTAGAAAAAGTTAATGATTTTTAATACATAATCAGTTCACTGCCTTTAACTCTAACATATTTCATACTTCCAACAGTTGGTAAATATCATACTATAGTAGAAAATGGATGGCGGATATCATATTATAGTAGAAAATGGATGGCAGATATCATACTATAGTGGAAAATGGATAGCATATATCATACTATAGAAGAAAATGGGTAGCAGATATCATACTATAGTAGAAAATGTATAGCAGATATCATACAATAGTAGAAAATGGATAGCAGATATACTATAGTAGAAAATGGATGG